ATGCAAACGTACTTATTTATTGCACTACATTACATTGTGATTGCGCAACAAACAAAAGTGTTGATAAATAAAATCGCAATATTACATACAACAATAAATGTGAAACTGAACTGTAATTGAGTGATAACATATTAAGCACTTTATGATAAATTTAACGATGAAATCGCAAACTCAAAAGTAATCACTATTTGTAAATCCACATATGTATGTTAATACTCTACTCAAAAAAATGTTCACTCACAAGCGCGCCTTCAAACTAATTCTAAAAATAGTTTTGGTCCTCACAGCTGTCTTACTTCTAGTCTACCTTGTAATTTCGTCGTTGGACAATAACAAGGCTAAGACTTTTCAATCCATATCCCTGGAGTCGGGGCACTCAAACAATAGCACCGTGATTCTCTTTTGGAATGGATTCTTCGACGATAACCAATGGACGCTAACAGCGGACACTTTAAATGTACAATGTCCACCTATCAATTGCATTTTAACCAATCAGCACGAATATTTACCTTCGATCGTTGATTATGCGGCAATCGTTTTCCACACAGCGCGCCCTTTTCCATTGTTTAACGGTCGACCGCGCAAACGGGCAGCTCATCAATGGTACGTTTTCTCACAATTGGAATCACCTGCGCACACATGGCATAATTTCTACGAAGAAAGTGAATTCTATAACCTCACTATGAGCTACCGCCTGGACTCGGACATCGTATGGAGTTACAACAGCATTCGAGACAGTGCAACGAATCAAGTAGTTGCACCCGTGCTGAAACCTCAATGGCGCAAAGTTGATGCGAAATGGACACAAAACGATTCGGATTTGTTGGCGTCCATTAAAAGGAAGAAAAAGTTGGCTGTTTGGTTTGTGTCAAATTGTAAGGTGCAATCTAAGCGAGAACGTTTGGTGAAGCAGCTGCAAGCACATTTAAATACGGGTATAGATGTGTACGGAAAGTGTGGACCGCTGAGGTAAGATTTAAATAAANCAGTTGGCTGTTTGGTTTGTGTCAAATTGTAAGGTGCAATCTAAGCGAGAACGTTTGGTGAAGCAGCTGCAAGCACATTTGAATACGAGTATAGATGTGTACGGAAAGTGTGGACCGCTGAGGTAAGATTTAAATAAAACGCTTTATGCGTGAAATACATGTGCAGTAATTCAGCGCAGTAAAATTGTAATCGCACTGGTTTTTGTACTATTTGAAGCGACCTATACGGGTCCTACTAGGCAGCACACAGCATATCGAGCCCTAACCGCGAATATGACAAGCGATTTTTTTTTCAAAATTTTCTTTTTAATGTAGAATAGCTCCTACAGTCATCGCAACCGGATTTCGTGCATGAAGCTTAAGATAGCCCTGCAGGGCAACCGCGGACTAGTGAATCAAATTTCTAGTTCCGTACTAGGTCTTTATCGCCAAAAACGAACTAGTCCGATATGAACTAAATCCCCACCAGTCCAAAATCGGAGAAAAGTAGTACTTTTAAAAAACTAATTTATTTCAGTTTTTNTACAGTCATCGCAACCGGATTTCGTGCATGAAGCTTAAGATAGCCCTGCAGGGCAACCGCGGACTAGTGAATCAAATTTCTAGTTCCGTACTAGGTATTTATCGCCAAAAACGAACTAGTCCGATATGAACTAAATCCCCAGTCCAAAATCGGAGAAAAGTGGTACTTTTAAAAAACTAATTTATTTCAGTTTTTCACTAGAAAACGATATCTAAGATATAAGTTTTGTAGCCAATTCAATTTTATTTCAATTAAGTGCAAATTTTAAGTAACTTACTATTGATTTCTGGAATTTTTTGTGGAAGGTGTTGCGGATTTTCTGAATACAAAAAAAAACATACTTTATGTGGAAGAAAATGTTTTAACAAAAAATTGTCAAAAATCAACACTTACCTAGCTACTTCAAAGTTGCACTTTATTATATATGCATTTAAAAAAACTGCGTCCTCAAAAAAATTCTAAAAAATCGGATTAAACAGTTTAAAATTTTGATGAACATTTGTTAAAATTGCGGAAAAAAAATCGGCCGATGCCGATGCTGATTAATCCGTCGGACTCTATAAGTAGCCATCCTAATGTTATATCGGAAGTGTCATGAGCACCGAACTATCGCACAGTGGTTCAAAACTTGCATTCACTATTCATAGTTCAGGTAAGCCTTAATTTTTAACTCTTTCTTTCTTTCGTATTAAATTTTTTAGTGCAAAGTGTTCCAGTTAATACACTTAAAATAATAAATACTGGTTGAAAACAATTGTAGGGTTCCACTAAAACGGAAAAAAATCCAAAAATTTTTAAATGTTAAATACGGTGATGATCAGGGCTGCTAACTTGGCTCAAACCGTGCCATTTTTGGCCCTCTTTTACTTCAAATGGCACTTTTGCAAAAAATAACATTTCAATATATTTTTGTGAAATCCTTTACGTGTACTTATTTTCTCAACTAAAATTTTCAAATTTCTAAAGGTTATTCAACTGGTTTATCTTATTTTGGCATTGCACTTTTGTTTTATAAATGTGGTTTTTATTTTATTGCTAAATAGGAAGCAATANTTGCAAAAAATAACATTTCAATATATTTTTGTGAAATCCTTTGTGTGTACTTATTTTCTCAACTAAAATTTTCAAATTTCTAAAGGTTATTCAACTGGTTTATCTTATTTTGGCATTGCACTTTTGTTTTATAAATGTGGTTTTTATTTTATTGCTAAATAGAAAGCAATATAAAGAATGGCACCTTTTTTGGCACTTTTATTTTTCGATTTGGCACGTTTTGGTATTTTTTATCCTCAATATGGCACCTCAAAGCTTAGCATAGTTGGCAGCCCTGGTGATGATAAAGTTGCCACAATTGTGCTTTCTTGGTACAATTTGAGACCAAAAAGTACATAGACATCGCATAGGCCATTTTGTTACAATTTGGAAATGGTTTTATATTGACGTTGGTTAAAAACTTCTACTTATTTATACAAATACTTTGTTCCTTCTCTACTTCAAACAAACTTCGACTGAATTTGTTTTACATTACAAGGTCGGCAATTCCGAAAGCACCAGAACTTAAAAAATTTAAATATATACGAGTTTTGGAAACAAATTAAATTAATTAAAAACGAAATAAACGACCCGATGGTTGCGAACCTTTTTAAAATAGCTCAAGGTATATTGTCTATTCCACATTCCTCCGCAAATGTTGAGCTGTCTTTTCTGTTCGGATTCTGATAAAAAAAAAACGGAGAAATAGATTACAGGTAAAAACCCTCGGTTCTTTAATAAAACCAAAATATTATATCAAGTCTTTTCACAGTTTTTGTCACGATATAAAAATACATGCAGAATCTTTAAACCAAAATGTGACTTACGATCTCACAGAAAGTGAAATGCTTGACTAATTTTTTTCTACTTTTAATACATATATGTACATATGTATGTATATTTTTACTCGGTGTTTATTTAAAAGGCGTTTTTGTGAATGCGTTTAAGATTTTTTGTTGGTACATTTTTATTTGATTTGATACATTTTTTTCTGACGTTTGGTATAATTTCGAATAATTTATTTATTATCCGTGGTTAGATATAAACAATTGTAAACAAAAAAAAATCTTCTTTAGTTCATAGGAAATTTTTTGCGAATGCAATATTATAGATCACGAAATTTTAGAGTAATAAAGTGCTATGAGTTCGCGTTGATTTTTAATAATATTATATGCAAAAGAATTTAANATACATTTTTTTCTGACGTTTGGTATAATTTCGAATAATTTATTTATTATCCGTGGTTAGATATAAACAATTGTAAACAAAAAAAAAATCTTCTTTAGTTCATAGGAAATTTTTTGCGAATGCAATATTATAGATCACGAAATTTTAGAGTAATAAAGTGCTATGAGTTCGCGTTGATTTTTAATAATATTATATGCAAAAGAATTTAAACTACACATCACTGCAGATGTGCTCGAAAAGTTAGCGAAATAAAGATAAGTTTTAACTAACCGCCAACACAGTTTCTCATATAACAGGTTGGCCAAAACATTGAGTTAAGTTAAGTTACGGAAAATAAGTTTAGACTAACTGAGCTTTAAGTCCATCTCCAGCTACGCTGACCTCAGTATTTTCGCGGAAAGGTGTTCCTCGAAAGAATTCTGTGGTCAGCGTAGATGGAGTTGGACTTACGGCGGCCATTTTTTAGGGAAAAAATGACATCGATATCGACGTCGACAACCAAAATAGGGATTTTCTTTTCATAACAAATTTACAATAAAACAATTAAGAAAGTCTAAGTTCATGCGGAGCCGAACATTAAATACCCGGCGCAATTTTAAATATATGTTTTGATGTAGAATACGTCTTACGTTTCGAGATGGAGNCTGGAGTTGGACTTACGGCGGCCATTTTTTAGGGAAAAAATGACATCGATATCGACGGGATTTTCTTTTCATAACAAATTTACAATAAAACAATTAAGAAAGTCTAAGTTCATGCGGAACCGAACATTAAATACCCGGCGCAATTTTAAATATATGTTTTGATGTAGAATACGTCTTACGTTTCGAGATGGAGACTATGCTAAAATGTTGTAGTTGTAATTTTTAGAGCTTCACGAAAATGCTTATTGCACGAGAACTAATAAAGCGATTTCAAAGAAAAGTGTGGCGTTTCAAAGATAAAATTCCAAACCTATCGACAGATTCATTTTTGTAAGTAACCAATTTGGTTTCTGTCGTAAAAATAACGGTAAGCATTGGCTTATTTTGGGGTCAATTTTGAGCCTTTAAAATGCTCCAGCAGTTTATGATTTACAGATATATATTTCATTTTCGGAATAGAGATTCTTTGAAGCAATAGAAATATTATCGTATACAGATTTTATATAAATTCAACAAATATTGAGCACTTTAAGGCAAAAAATTGTTGAAAAAATTAGCAAATTTTTTTTATTACCAAAATGTTCGAAACCCGCTCGAATGATTTTGTTTTTGTTTTCTTTAATCAAAAATTCAAGAGTTTTACTTTCGTTTGGTATATGGGAAGTATTGGTTGATATCTTCTAAGTATGCTTATTTGATTCAAATTTATGGGCATAAATGATTTCCNAATTTTCGGAATAGAGATTCTTTGAAGCAATAGAAATATTATCGTATACAGATTTGATATAAATTCAACAAATATTGAGCACTTTAAGGCAAAAAATTGTTGAAAAAATTAGCAAATTTTTTTTATTACCAAAATGTTCGAAACCCGCTCGAATGATTTTGTTTTTGTTTTCTTTAATCAAAAATTCAAGAGTTTTACTTTCGTTTGGTATATGGGAAGTATTGGTTGATATCTTCTAAGTATGCTTATTTGATTCAAATTTATGGGCATAAATGATTTCCCATACAAAATCACTTCGTCCTCGTTTTGCAAACACGTGCATGCGTTCGAAGTGAGGAAAGGAGACATAAGTATGTATGTGTGCGTACATAGTACATATTTCGGCTTTTGATTAACAGGTGGCGCAATATTTATAACCTAATCGCAGCGTATGTACATATGTGAATACATAAGTACGTACATATGTTGAATGTAGTTGATGTATCCACATGTTTAATCGTTAATCGCTGGCTGCGATTAGGATTAATTAATTTTAATCATTAATCGTTAAACCAATTAAAAATAAAATCTNAATGTATCCACATTTTTAATCGTTAATCGCTGGCTGCGATTACGATTAATTAATTTTAATCATTAATCGTTAAACCAATTAAAAATAAAATCTGATTAAGTTGTCTAGTTTGTCCGAATTTGAAACCAAACACCAGTTATAGTAATTATTTTGTGTTTTACGCTTATAAAAAGCACGTAATATAAAAAAACTATAATTATTGTTATTAGTAATACATAAACTGGGACCGTTTACAAACTTGGTTTGTAAAACGTTTGTTGGTATAGATCTTAATGAAAATGCACACCAAATTGCTCAGATTGATGAGGAAACCCGACTTAGCCATACCTAATTAACTTGCTTTGTGTGCCAAGGAAAATTGCAGCATAAATTAATTAATCACCAAACCTACTTTATCAAATTAAGAGTTAATGATTAAAGATTAATTTTTTTAATCGCGGTTACGACTAACTGTTTAGTCAGATTGAAATTAACCATGATTAACTGTAATCAGATTGAATTTAATCGAATCAACTAATTTTCTAAAAAATCAATCGATTAATGCCAACATTGATTTCACACACATATCTCTATACCAAGTCCCAGTTCTCTCCCACAAATACTTCCAGAGATATATATGTAATATGAAAATTCCAATTTGTATGGGAGGGGCCTTGAGTTATCGGAATTACTTGCAGTCTAAGACCTTCCTCGCGAAATCCGTTGTAATTGGACCAAATTTCGTTCTGATCGGAAAACCGGTTAAGAAAGTAACCTATTTTTCAATCCAGGTCATAAACCACCTGTGAGGAAAATTTCATTTTCAAACAGCCGGCAATTCTTAAAAAAGAAGCCTATTTTCCAATCTAGGTCATAAGCTATCTGTGTGCAAACTTTCATGTAAATCAGTTCAGTCATTTCCGCGTATTAATTTAATTAAACTTTTCAAATAGGTGGCAACGCTTAAAATAGTAGCCTATTCTCCAACGTAGGTCATAAGCTATCTCTGTGCGAAATTTCATGCAAATCCGTTCAGTCGTTCCCGCATATTAAATAAATTTAACTTTTTTAACAGGTGGCAACTCTTAAAAAAACAGCCTATTAACCAATCTGGCCCATAAGCTATCTGCGTACTAAATTTAATGCAAATCCTTTCAGTCGTTTCCGCGTGGTGATTTCCCAAACATACAATCATTTAATCAATCCCACCAAATCCCACCAAAAACCAATGAGCTGTTCAGCACAAAATGTAACCAAACAAGCAAATGCAACAACAATTTCAACGAACAACCTGAGTTCTGCCTATTGCTTGGCATATTTAAACAAAGTTGATCAGAAACCCAACCAAGGCGAATTTATATAAGGTGGTGTTACTAGCTCAGCTGATTTTGTGTATGTGTTTCGCCGCACGGCTTCTGATATCAAATTGAAAAATTTTGTTTGAATTTCTACACACACTCTTACAGATTTTGACAGTTTATGCCGCCAAAGCAAAAACAAAATACATGTAAATTTTTGTTTTTGTACTCCTGCTATCACCTTATATTAATTCGCCTTGAAACCAACGAAAGCTAAATGGCATTTAAACAACAATCCACAATTAAACTTAAGTGCCGTTTAAATATTCATTTTAAATTGGCGCTTACAGCTCCTTGTTAATGTTTATAGACAGGCAAACCACTCGCCCTACTGCTGCTGGTGCCGCGTGTCGCTTCAATTGGGCACAGCCTTGCCGAGGCTGAAAATTTTCTGCTGAAAAGTGGTTGGAATAAGCAAACAACGCCTTGGTGAAGTTACCATGCTCTTGGCCATCCCGAAATATGCAGTTAATCGTACAAAATTATGATGAAAATAATTTGCATAAACAAACAGATTCTCTATTTACATTACACAATGTAATGTATTTTACTTATATTCCGTTTTATATTTAATTTTAGAAATAATAGAACAATAGAAAAGCTCGCTCAAAAGATCCTCAAAATATATTTTCTCATAATTTTTAAATTATTTTTTGAAATATTTTTTTTTAGTAAAAAAAAAAACTTTTAATTTCTTCAGATAATATGGTAGCTTCAATTTAAATGAAAATATCAAAAGCACAGTTTACGTTGGGAGCAATGCCGAATAAGAAGAAGTGAAACTTTAAATACTTGTATCATGTTCCCTGCTCTTAAATAATTCACTTTTTTATTCATCTATCGATTCTCTTCGTTAGTAGCTTGATATTTTTGTAAAATAACCGGCCTTGATGAAAATAAAAAAGTTGTAAAAAAATCGGTTATGTTTTAATTTGTTCCCAGTTAAAGTTTGCATTTTTTATTTACGTTAAAAATGAAAATGAAAATATCTTGGGAAAATTACCTAGTCTAGAAAAACGGTATACAGATGCGTAATCTATGACTCAAAACTAAGTTAAGGTGTGTCGGTGTTTTTTGTGTAATGTTAGCATCTCTACAGTAGAGTATTTTTTTTTTTTTTTTATTTTATAAGTTATTAATTTCTCATTCTTCTTCATTCTATTTCAGATGTGCACGCTCGAATAGCAGCTGCTATGAGATGCTTGATACCGATTACAAGTTTTACTTAAGTTTTGAGAACTCGCTTTGCATTGACTACGTTACAGAAAAGTTTTACAACGCTCTGCAGCGGCATATCGTTCCAGTTGTGTACGGTGGAGCAAATTATTCCAAATTTGCCCCACCACTCTCTTACATTGATGTTCAAGATTTTAAGAACGTTTCGGAGCTTGCGGCGTATCTTATATATTTGGATAAGAATCCTTTAGAGTATGCCAAATACTTTTGGTGGCGCCGCCATTACACAATCATGTCCTTCGATGGCGGGCTGCAAACTATACCCTACTGCAGCTTATGTGAGCGTGTTACCTCACATCCGGCTATGCGACGGTTAGAAATCTATAAAGATATAAACGCATTTTGGAAGTATAACGCATGCTATGCGGTGCCACGAATACAATTTTAATTTCTAATATACATACATATATACATAGCTCTTACTCATTAAAAAATACTAGAAATTATCGAAAAAGAAATTCATAGAAAATGCATTTGTTAAGCTAGTGTCACACGAATGGTCTTTTGCTCAAAATTTGATGCAAATTGTATCCCAATCGTGTGAATTCACAAATATTTTTCTTTATTGCAATCACGAAAAATAACTTGTTAANCCCACCACTCTCTTACATTGATGTTCAAGATTTTAAGAACGTTTCGGAGCTTGCGGCGTATCTTATATATTTGGATAAGAATCCTTTAGAGTATGCCAAATACTTTTGGTGGCGCCGCCATTACACAATCATGTCCTTCGATGGCGGGCTGCAAACTATACCCTACTGCAGCTTATGTGAGCGTGTTACCTCACATCCGGCTATGCGACGGTTAGAAATCTATGAAGATATAAACGCATTTTGGAAGTATAACGCATGCTATGCGGTGCCACGAATACAATTTTAATTTGTAATATACATACATATATACATAGCTCTTACTCATTAAAAAATACTAGAAATTATCGAAAAAGAAATTCATAGAAGATGCATTTGTTAAGCTAGTGTCACAGGAATGGTCTTTTGCTCAAAATTTGATGCAAATTGTATCCCAATCGTGTGAATTCACAAATATTTTTCTTTATTGCAATCACGAAAAATAACTTGTTAAAATTTTTCCAATAGAAGTTCGCTGTATTGTGACTACAAACAAAATTTCGTGCCATTTTTTTTTTATTTTGTACCATAAGCCCAGTATAAAAATTTACAAATCTGTGCAAATTTACCAATCGTTTGACACCGCCTTTAAGGTGCTAGTTTTTTCTAAAACCATTTACTTCTCGGTAAGTGTGTATTACTTATCCTGTCTATATGTACATATTTACATGGTGATAAAATATATCTACATACATACATATGTAGAAAGACCCCAACTGATATTTTCCCCTTTTTTACAGAAGAGGCAGGGACCGTATTCGGCTTCGCCGTCAAAAACTTACTCGTTTTAGTCTGTGGAATTGTCCTAGGTTTAGTACTTAACCTTAGTAGCATAAAAGAAATAATAAATATTAAATAAAGCAAAGAAATATTGTCAAAACTGGTCAAAATAAGGCGTTTCTATTACATATTTGAGCCATAGATAATGTGACCACCCATACTCTCTCTTTTCGTACTTCGAAGTATAGTCAAATGTACTTCTCCGATCTTCTGGACGATCGTCACAAGGTCTGGCCGATAAACTACTAAAGTCGCCGGGGACCGATGGCATCATACCAGCGCAGCTGCATGTCGTGCAATTGGTTGGATTCTATTTATGCGAACTTCGTGAGGACCGGGTACATCCCCAAGACTTGGTGGGTAATCAGTATTGCGTTCATCCCGAAGGCCGAAAGAAGCTCTCATGTTTCCGCTAGGGATTTTAGGTTTATCAGTCTCTCTTCGTTTTTGCTAAAAACGCTACAGAAACTGATAGATCTGTACATAAGAAACGCGATACCTCGTGACTGTCTTTCAAGGGCTTAATATGCTTATTGCAAGAAAAGGTCGGTGAATACCACCGTGCACACATTGGTAAAGTAGTCAGAGGAAGCCTTCGATATCGAGGAGGCCTTCAACAAAGTCACTGCAGAGGCAATAGTCAAGTATATTCGAAATATGGGGGTTGAAACCTACCTAATAAGGCTTATCTACAGCTTACTTCGTGACAGATCTGTCGCGGCGGAGTAGGGGAGAAAGCCTGCACTCAGCGCAGAGTCAATAGGAGCACTCCCCAAGGCGGTGTTCTCTCTCCCCTGCTCTGGATTGCAGTTGTAAACGACCTTCTAGAGGAACTGGAAAAAGTGGGCTGTCGGGTGATCGCCTATGTAGATGATGTAGAACTTTTGGTTAAGGGACGATTCCTAAACATCCTTTTTGATTTGGCTCGAGGTTGCCTGAACAAGCTAACTAGGTGGGCGATCAACGGCGGCTGTCGTGGAAGCCTAATATTAACCATAGGGTAAGAACAGTATCGGTTGCCTTGTACTGCTGTAGGGGAGCTGTCGGTAAAAGGTAAAGTCTCTCGCCCAAATTAATTCATTAGCTCTAGAAATCCAGATTCCCGGAGCCCTTATCTGGTAGAACTGACTAGAGAAGGCTACACTTGTAAAACAGGAATTAGCGGAGCATTAGAAACCACACCTACATACACTGGCGCTTAACGTATTTTAAACACGGCGCCTTCGGATATTGCAGACAGGATTGTCACAACACGAACTGCTATTAGGCTAAGGGAAACCGGGTCCTTTTGTGACAAAAAAGAAAAGGAAAAGCGAAAGATACGATTGACCAATCGTTACCCGTTAAAGGTGCCAAGGTGAAGAATACCACGTTATCTCTCAAGGGCTAGGGATGGGGGTTCTTGTGCAATTGGTATTCACGCGGTAAGACTAAGAATTTTAACTGATCCTTTTGCATCAGCTGTCAAGAGGAAGGTGAAGTGAAATCATCTCCACACTTTCATTTAGACTGTCGAACCTTGGCGAGGCTAAGATGGAAGCATTTTGGCTCGCACTTCTGAACAAACACTGAGCTCTCAGGGATCGAAACTAGCCGCATTCAAAATTTTGTAATCGGCTCGTGGCGTTAACCTGCCCCAAACTAACCTGTACTTCTTTGAGCTATGAAATAATTGGTCTCATTAGGCATGGTAGGGTTGTTCGACTTTACTAGAAAGTCGACTTCCGACTTTTCGATCGACTCTGTAGCGTCGACTTTAAAAGTCGACCGTTCGGTGAAGAAAATTCGATTTTTTTCGACTTTTTAATCAGAAAACCTGTATTATACTTTCCATTTAACTAATATATTTGTTATAAATATAAGGTTTAGAATATGCCAATAATATGATGATTTTCAAGTGGTCTTTAGAATAATATGTAATTCAGTGAAATTCAGTGCGGCGTAAGATACAGCCAGACATCAAAGGATTTAAAAAAATTTTGAAAATTGTGCGAGTTATACAGCACCAACATGTTGGCTGTGAGTATTTTTCATATTTTATATTTTTATACCCGAGCGCACTTGTGCACAAGGGTATATTAATTTTGTTCACATAACGGTTGTTTGCAACAGCCAAAACGAATCGAGATAGATATAGACAAATGTATACANATAGAGAAGTCGATTAAGCCATGTCTGCCCGTCTGTCCGTCCGTCCGTGTACTCGATAACTCGGGCAAAAATTGAGATATATATGTAGGTTTCCATTAATCCAAGGTAGGTTGGTATTGGAAATGGGCGAAATCGGACTGTAACCACGCCCACTTCCCATATAACGGTAATTNGGTAATTTGTAGAAATTCGAAATCTTCGATAAATCAGTAAATATTAAAGCTAATTTATTCAAAGTTGATGCTTTCAACAATTCTTTACCAAGAAATACGTTATGAAAACATTTTGGAAAATGGGCGTGGCACCGCCCACCTCTGATCACATATATGTATCTCGGTAACCGTTCTACCAATTTGTACCAACC